CCCCCCCCCCCACCAGGCTAAGAGAGATCGGTCCACTCACTTGGGCCCTTACTCAGTTGGCGAAGGCCAAGCGTGTCGTCTAGATCTACATCTCTGGAAGCTCAGAGGAGAAGGAGCGAAGGAAGGCAGAGAGACTCATGACTAAACACTTCAGCGAATGGTCCTCTGTGGTGCCCCGGGAGGGGAGGTCTGGGGGACACAGCAAGAGATGATCTCTGTTATGATGATGGAAGAGTGGCTTTCAATGAAGCAAACTCCATGCCGTCTGGGAGCTCCATCTCGAGCTCACCGGCTCGTTTCACATGAAAGCCGTTCTCCGGTTACTTGAAAACTGAAGGGGGTCCCAAGCTCTGGTCTGCTTTCATTTGCAGCTCCTCTCAGCCACGTTGGAGGTTGTCTGACATGCCTTGACATTTCTTAATGTTTCACCCATCTAAAAAACATTTATCCCAAAGTGCTACCTATGCTTTTATTTTTTCCTATTACAAGAGAGGCTGAAAACCAAGGTTCTGATGTAATTGATCACCATGAAAGATATTTACTGAAGTGATTTTCACTTTAATGACATTTAATTTGACACAAATGTAAACACAAATGTCAAGATAATTAATTTGGTAAATTAACTCATTGAAAATCATTTCTTGCAGAAGTATAGTATTTAGAAGATTTCGCCATTGTTTCTGAGTTCTGCTGTGAACTTGAGCACTATGTTCCATCCGTATCGATAATGAAATGCAAAAATGGGTGTAAATTTGCTTCTAAAATTGGTTTATTGTCATGATACATTGCCAAGAAGGTGCTTTTTTTCTATTATTTTTTCAATCCTTGTTTTGTATTCTATCGCTATCATGTGCTTAGTGGTTAATTCCACATTGTTTCTCTATTTGTGCATCACTTACATCTTCTTTAGGAAGGAAGCGGCTTTCAAGTTTAATTCTTATTAACAGAACATATTTGATTATCATACTTTGTTTATGTTGTGAACAATTTAAAACCGAAACATTTGAGCAGGAATTATCAAAATTCATCTCATCTCAGTGCAACAGGTGGGCCTCTTTTCACCATGAAAAGGTCAAAGTGTAATGGAATCACGGGCTGTGACGGTGCAGTACTGTAAGTCCATTCCACACTCACTTGAATGCCAAGTACTAAGTGCACCAAGAGAACAGTATGTTCTGTCCTTGCAGATATCTGTGTAGTATGTAGTGTGCAGTACTCGATTTCAGACACACTCTTTTACTCCCCAAGTCGCACACTGATTGCATCATAGATCAGTACATTATCCTGCCTGCTGGCAATGTTGACAGACATACAGTGATAATTTGCCTGTCATCAGTTTGGTAAATATTTGATACCAAGAAGTCCAGTACAATCTGTCTGGCATTTCTGCAGAAAACCACCTGTTTTTCAAAGAGGAGGAGAGAAGGAGGTGGTGGAGAGAGGGAGCAATACAGCTTTATAGTGAAAAGAGAGAAGAGGAGCAGAAGCAAATGACAGTGTGTACAAGGTGATCTGACACACACACACACACTCCCAGACACACACACACAAACACACTGCACACACACACACACAAACACTCCTAGAGACACACACACACACACTTCACACACACACACACACTCCCAGACACACACACAGAAACACACTGCACACACACACACACAAACACTCCTAGAGACACACACACACACACACTTCACACACACACAAACACTCCCAGAGACACACACACCAACACTCCCAGACACAAACACACACACACACACACGCACAAACACTCCCAGACACACACACGCACACACATTTGTATTCATATCTTTGTGGGGACTATCCATTCATTTCTATGGGAAAAACTATGTGTGGGGACTGAAAAAAAATAGTCCCTACAACACCAAAATGAGAGCTTTTTAATCACATTGGGGGGAAATTTGGTCCCCACAATGTAATACATACCTGGGTCACACACACTGACACAGACATACGCACACACACAGATGAGGATGCGCTGCTATAATCCGGCGTATAGGCAGGGACACACACACCTGTGCCCACACCCACACACAAACAAGCGTGCACAGCCGTGCCCAGAGCCTGTGGGGTGTGACGCCTGGACCCAGTGAACCGGTCCTCCCCCCTAGAGCCCACGTGGGCGTGTGTAGCTGTGAGCCGGCCAACAGACTCGCCCTCACCGGCAGAGCTCCTGTTCCACAGGAGCGTCGGGACCTGGCGGGGGGGTGGGGGGGCTGTTAAAAATGGCGAAGAATTACCGTGTGACTCTGGCCTATCCACTGACGATGGGGGACCAGCGGAGACGACACAGTGATGTAAGTCCTCTGCTGGGCACCTACGTGTTTGTGTGTGTTTGTGTTTGTGTGTGTGTGACTGAGAGGGCTTGTTTTTATAATATTATCTCATCATGGTGAAATGGTGAAAAAAACCAGTGTTCCCCACTTTGAGCCATTCAGTGTGCAGCGTTGTAGCGTGACAGGACTGCGTGTCCACACGCGTGTATGTCAGTGTGCAGCGTTGTAGCGTGACGGGACTGCGTGTCCACACGCGTGTATGTCAGTGTGCAGCGTTGTAGCGTGACGGGACTGCGTGTTCACACACGTGTATGTGTATGTGTTTCGTCAAGCATCTGTCCACGTCGGACCCGTCCCACCTGTTTCTACTCATCTGTCGTTTTTCAGAATTTAAAAATTGCGTCTTGCTGTAGAGCAGGGGTGTCAAACTCCAGTCCTGGGGGGCCAGAGCCCTGTGTAGCTTAGTTCTTTCCCTGTTCCACCACGAATGATTCAGCTGAAGAGCTGTGTGGTAATTAGCACAAGGAGTTGAACCAGGTGTGTTAAATGCGGGGAAACCAAAAACTGTGCAGGGCTCCAGCCCCCCAGGACTGGAGTTTGACACCCGTGCTGTAGAGGGTGTGCCAGGGGCATGATAGATGATAGACAGAGCTGGAATACCTTCCGGGTCGGTTCCGGAGTCCAGTTCCAGATGTCTGTTCCAAGTTCATCCCTGATATAACATTTTTGGAAATGTGAGCAAAAAAAAAAATTATTCTCTTGTCGTGTGTGTAGTTCAGAGAGAGGGACACAGAGGTGACCCTATAGACACTACATTGTTGTCCTGGATGCAATTTACTACCATATAGGGTAGTAAGAGTCTTCACAATGGCAGCTGAATCTCCCACTTAACACATGAAACATTCCAGTAGAAGAGCACCGCATAATTCTGCTGTTGTTACAATGCTTTATCTGTTAGGTTTTCACCTTTTTCCCTGTGGTATATGTGCCAAATCCCACGGAGAAGCATTCATATCCCAAATGATGCGCTCATGTCTTTACACCTGAACTCAGAGTAGGAAAACATTTGTGTGAGAGTTATTTAGTTACAAGGATTTTTACCATTTTGTAAGCAAGTGAAAGTCCTCCGAGCAGAGTGAAATACATATATATATATTTTACATAAACAATTGTACTTTAAATGGGAAATAAATTGTGTTCCTGGGTATTCATTGGGACCAGATATGAAAGAATTCTACCAGGAATAAGTATGTTGTATTATTACAAGGCGTCTGGTGGTAATAACCTTAGAAAGGAGCGTGGGGAGCCGACTGAGATGCCCGGGGGGGGGTCCGTGGCGCAGCTGGCCTGGTCGGGGACCGGCATGACACGGACGCACCCCCACTCCGGTTCACAGCCTCTCTGTTTGCCTGGCCGTCCCGTGTGTTTGCTTTTAAGGTGGTGTCCCTGCTTTGTTTACATATCCCCGGGCTGTGGCTTTTGTTTGGAGCACTTGCAAGGCAAGATGTACCCGCTTTTCCAGCCCGGAGGTGTCTGCTCTGTATGTGTGCGTGTGTGTTTTTCTTCCGACTGAGCAAACTCCGTTTGTTGTTTAATTCAAATAACGTTGCAGAATGAAAAACATGACTTTTCCTCAATGGCTTCATTAAATTTAAACCTCTTTAAACAGCAGTGCAAATGCTTCATACGGTAGGTACATAGAGCACTAATTAATTCCAAGAACACAGATTAATTAGCATAACTTAACCTGATGAGGTCACGCTGGTTGTTTTGACAAATGCCAGCATTGCAGGCAGATTAATAGTCGTAATATAGACTCGTAAGACCCAGTTGTGTTCATTAAATTATGGAGCTTTGAGATCATCCTCTTTTTGGGTCATGACAAATGATAACAATTTTGCAGCATTTACGATGGTAGCTGAAGGGAGTAATACCAGGCCAAAAGATAAGGAGTCCAAAATAAGAAATTCAACCTTTTTCTTGGAACTTCTCTGCTTACAATAATACTGAAATACACTCTTAATCTGACTCCATTTTTCAATGTCATGCTTTCAGCAGAGCATTGCCATATTCATTAGCATACTGGATTCCAGCCAATCAGAAGCTCCATTTTATTAAGTCCAGCTTTATCACTGGCCACACAACCTGCAGATGTATTTGCTGGAAGGTTCATTGCTTTTAAATATTATTGCGCTGCAATAATATTGACAGTAAACATGTGTTTACTGTCCAAAGTCTACCCCAGGGTACTGCTTGAGAATGGCATCAGGCGATGGATGGATGGATGGATGGACGGATGGATGGATGGACAGATGGGGATATTCAGTAGGCAGCGCTGAACACTGACATCATAAAGTGGGCTTGGGTTTTTTTGGCAAATAATTCTGTTACATGTTTATTTTTTTATTATTATTTTGCAATATCAAAACAAATATTGATGCATGCTCCTCTTTCCTCTCGCTTTTATTCAAGTACATGGACTTACGCCGTACTTTATTTTAATACTCGGTAATTTAGTCATTTTTCCCTGAATAGTTATCCCTAATGTAGAATGACGTCATTGTAAAAGGGCATGTTTACATGCATGCTGTTATTTATTACAATAAACTGGCCCCTGACATTAACAGTTCATTACAGTGGCTTTATGAATTCTGAAATGCCATTTTTGTTTTCTACTCCAAAATATAAAAAACAGCTATTTCAGAACTAATATTTCAAATTAATGTATGATAAATGATTTATAAAAAGAAATGTTTCACATTATGTTTTTTATAAACTATTTTAGAAGAAATGGCTATTTATAAGAATGATAATCAAATAAGGAAGATATAATAATGTAAAAATGTATGTAAATTGTATCCAAAGAATGTAAGCACTTTGAGTTAAGGCAGAATAAGGTCTGGTCAGCATGATAGTCTCTCCTGTGTGTGTGTTTCATATTCAACTGAGCAGCTGTATGAAAAGGAATAAATGCTGTTAAGGTGTTGTGCCAGAATGGCTCCTTTGTAAAGCAGTATTTTGGTTGAGGAGCTGATCACTGAGAGGGCCGGGCTCATTCCGCACTCAGCCCTCCAGGCCGTTGCGTTCGTGTGTCATGGGAAAGAAGTAAAACTATCTCTGGTTTATTGCTGTCTCTCCCCAGACTACGGACTTATTTAACATGATTGCAAGGATGCAGGTGAGTTAGATTTTACATGTTTTTGACTTCCTCTATAGTTCCTCTCTGCTTTGCTACTTTTGAAGTGCACTTTGAAGGTGCATGATCTTCTCGTTGGATTACTACGTTGGTTCAGAGATTTGTTATTTGTCTGTCTATGGTTGTTTGTGTGTGTGTGTGTGTGTGTGTCATCTGACAAAATGTGGACCCCTAAAAAGAGCAACAGCTACAAAGTCACATCAGCTAATTCGCATGTGGACTTCAGGCTAAACCTTTGTCTCCCTTGAGACGGTTGCTCTTTTGATGAAAATCTTCTGACTGAAATTGCTTTAGCCCCCCTCACCCCCTGCTGAGGTTCGTTCAGGAAGACTGGTGTAATAGGGAGGCTTTGAATTTTGTGTCATTGTTTTGTCCCAGTCTTATGTCTCATTCGTGTCTCGTTCTGTTTGAACTCCCCATGTGAGAAAAGAATTTTCGATGGAGGGACGCTTTGTATCTATGCTATCAGCGACTGGGTGAAATCCAGCCCTTCAATACGATGATATCAGTGACATCAAGAGCGACAGCCTCACTGGGTCATTCTCTGGGCTTGTCAAACCAGTTCCAAGCTGGCCTTTCACATGTGACACTGTCTCCAATGGCTGTTTTATCTTCCATCTACACAGCACTCCTTGCTCTGCCTTTCAGCTACTCTTGCTTTTGTCCCCTGACATTTTCTTAGGCCTTTCAACAATCACTTTGCCTGTTTGTTAGCTTCACACTTCTAATGTCCTCTTTATTTATGGGCTGATAGCACATCCAGTGTCAGTATCATACCTTTGCTATGTGCCCTGTGCTATGCACCAGAAGGCCATTGAATTGTGTACTTCTTAATTCTGTTTTCAGTGGTTATAATGGAGTATGAGGTCATAAGTCAGCAAGCCAATCCAATCTAAGATGCCTATGATGTAACACCACCTACATGACACGTGCTCTGCCCTAGTGGAAGGGTTCATGGTGGGCTTCTCTCTACTTTTCAGGGCAGCAGAATGGATGAACAGAGGTGCACATTTCCTCCCCCGCTTAAGGTAAGTTTTACCCTCCATCTTTCCAAGATCCATCAGTTCTGGCGACTTAGTTCCCAGCAGCCTGCTAATGTGCAGATATGTCAAAAAATTTGTCAGCTGCTCTCCTCTGAGCTACTCCATCTTACTTACGACCAAGACGGCGCTGACAGCATTGACAGTAACATTTAATGAGACCGAGCATTCTCTCCACGTCGTGGCTGGTCTCCACGGAGAAGTGACATAATTTGAATTCGGAGCGCCTCTCTCACCATTCTGTGACATGTGTCCATTGTCTCCTTAGACTGAGGAAGACTACATCCCCTACCCCAGCGTGCATGAGGTGAGAGCCTCTCTGCTTCCCATTGAGGCTTGGTGAGGTAGCATTTGAACGGCAATCCATTCCGACTTCTTATTGGCCTCACTGTTGCCACGGTCACCCAGGTGCTGGCTCGGGAAAGACCCTTCCCACTGATCCTACTGCCCCAGTTTGGAGGGTATTGGATCGAGGGGACCAATCATGAGTTAGGCGGGGAAATCGACCCGGAGCAGCTGCAGTCTCCGGCTTCCCGAGTCAAGTTGGAGAGCAACACTACAGCCAAGATATACAGGAAGCACTTCATGGGCAAGGTCAGATATATACATTCCTGGATAAGACATCATAGTGCAGAATAACAGAATTAAATAAAATAACAAAAAATATTCACATGGAAACTGGGGGGGGGGGGCATGATTCAAATGACAAAGTTAGCAAATTAACGTAAAAAGATAAAAGAAGCTAAAAAGAAACTAAAAGGGATCAATGAAAGAAGTTACGGTGTTGTGACCATCTCAGATAAAGGTTCCAAGAAAGTCACCGCTGCTCAAATTAGGATCATGGGGTCAACATGCTAACCTATATTTTATCAGTATGGACAGGAGTCCGCATTGCTGGAGATAGCAATGACCTTGATGTGTTTTTTCAATCTGCTATTCTGATGACCAAAGTGGAAGTTTGAGAGTCACTGTGTTCAATAGGATTAAATTAGTCCCAGACTCATGAATCGAAAATGCACATTTAAAGATATAATCTATCCATTGAGAGCTTAATTGGCTGGCTGTATGAAGACGAGCAAGTCACTATCAAATACCTTAGACATCCCATGTTTTCCTTCCGTCAACAAAGACCTGAACAAAACGGTACTGGTTGATGCAAATAAGGTGACTGGATAAAGTCTCTATCAAAAATGTAAATTTCCAGTGGGGAACTGAGGACAGATAATTCTGTTGCAGCATACCTTATTGCAACATACATTACAGGTTCACTGTAACAGTGACATACATTTGATTGGTCCTCCTTGTTTGGATGTCAGATTTTTAACTCGGAAGACCAATTACATTTTTTCCTGGAAAGTCATGCAGTTTGTAGATGGCGAAGATGTTTGTTTGGTCCTTGGCTTGACAAGACTTTTTATTGCACGTATGAATGATGAGGTAATCTATGAATGTCAACAATGCTGTCTCCTTGGTGATGTTCCGACAGGAGCACTTTAACTACTATTCCATGGACAGCGCCCTGGGACACCTGGTCTTCTCCATGAAGTATGATGTCATTGGGGACCAGGAGCACCTCCGTCTGCTGCTAAGGTGTCACATGTCACATTCCCGTTGTCTTTCCTGTCATCCCTCCTTGTCTGATTTCTACCCCTTTCTTTTCCCTTGTTCCCTGATCCTAACTTTTCATTCATTCATTCATTCATTCTTTCATTCATTTCTCAGCATTAGTGGTTCTTCTCATTTTCTGGATGCTTCTCCAGCTTCCCAACTTATTCCATTCTCATCTCCATGCATTGACATCTTTTCAGCTCTGTGTACCACAACCTCTTCTATACTTTGTTGATTTCGTCTATCTCTCTGTACCACTAAAGAACCTATGCATCATAGATGACCCCAAAAAGCATGTTTTACTGTGTTCCTGGAATATTCAGGGCAAATATCAAAATAACCAGGTTATGCACTGTCACACGGCACCTTCCATCAGTGAACATGAAAAGGGTCACCGGTCGCCGGGCAACCTGACCCGTCCACAGATGACCAGTTCAGGCCAGTTAGCAGCCCTTAGCACAGAGGAATCTTACTACTGCTGGGTCCTGCAAACTCTCTTTTCCCATTCCTAATATTCTTCTACTGACAGTGATACAAGTAGTGCTTGTTTGTTTTGTTTGTGGCAGGGAGGCTAAAAAGGGATTAGCTTTGATCAAACACTGCTTATCTCAGGGCTAAAAATACACATTTCTGCCAGTTTTTATTGCATAATACATATTGTTTTTCAAAATGTTATTAGACAAGTCAAATCTAACATCGGCAAGATGACTCACTTTCTTGATAAATCTCTCCTGTCAGTTTTTGTGTAAAGCTGTTAACAGATACGTACGCTTACATTCAAATCCACATTTAATTCCTCCTTTGACAGTTTAACCTAAGGACCTCATGGCTTTCATCCATTTATGTAGCTGGATATTTTCCTGGAGCAATTTAGGTATCACACAGTTCCTAAGGGTCCAACTGGGGCCGGTTCCTGGGACTTGAGTAAGCAAACTTTGAGCTGCAAGTCCCATACCATAATCGCTACACCTCGTATTACCCAAACGCAGAGAAAAATTTACTGTGGTGAAAATTACTTGCTGTTCGCATATCTAAAACTTCCAACATAATAAAATTGGAATATTTTTATACCCATTTTGCGTTTTTCAGGACAAAGGCAAAGACATATCATGACGTGATCCCGATATCCTGCCTAACAGAGTTCCCCAACGTTGTCCAGATGGCCAAGGTAAGCTCTTAGCAAAATCCAGGCCATAAATCCCAAGGTGTACCGGCTACGACGGATGTAGCCAGCCTCATACTGTGGGATCCATCCTGCCATTAGTAATTCTGGCCCTGACATAAGCTGCAGGAAACAAAGACCTTCTGTCACCTGCTAACTGTATTCTGTTGTCTCTTTACCAGCTTGTGTGTGAGGAAGTGAACGTGGACCGGTTTTACCCTGTTCTCTACCCAAAGGTAAACACCAAACTCTGCCGGCCTGCTAGCCTCTCCCGTAACAGTCGGTCAACTTCTGGTAACCACAGCTGCTGATAATCACTTAAGCAAGGGAGTACGCCTCATCATTTGCAAACAATGACTCCTACTATTATGTTATTTAGTCTTCAATCTATGTAACTAATTAGACTGTAGACCTGCTTATCTGACACTTGGCAGGTAAAATTTTTATAACATGTTGGCATTTCAGGCTAAGCTCCATTATTAAAGTCACAACACCTGTGTCCGTCCTAAAAGTTGAATCTGTGGGCTATGAGTACTCATCCTTGAATGTTATGGCAACTACCCGAGCAAACTCACATACATGGCATCAGCGTTGTCATCTGCTACAGCTGAATGGAGTGAGATTTTTGATTTGAGACTAGTCTGCACACGCATTTGCATGCATGTAACAGTTTTATTACCTTGTAAATAGTCTGTAGGGTTTGCAAACTACCCCAACATTTTTCATGCAGCTAATTTTAGATTTATAATGGAATAATAAAGATTTGCCGTAAGAGTTCTTCAGTGAGCGTGAGAGTCTGAAGGTGTGAGTGTCACGCCAGATGCGCGAGAGCTGGCAACCCTGCAGCATAAACAGTGATTCTGTGACGTGGATGCCAGATTTTGTTATTGTGATAGAGATATGCAGTTTCTCAGGAGTATTGGGGGAAGAGGAGCTATATAGAGAAAGACCTGCCTGTACATTGCCCAGTAATCGTGGTACCCACCTTACTAACATGTTGCCCCCTCTTCATATCCCAGGCATCAAGGCTCATTGTCACTTTTGATGAACATGTCATCAGCAACAATTTCAAGTTTGGAGTCATCTATCAAAAGTTTGGGCAGGTAGGTTCCAAGATTTTATATATAGAGATTTTTTTCTACTTCTTGAAAAAATTAATTGACTTGTTGGGTTATGCGACCTCTCCAGTGCACCTGCTGTTGTTTTATTAAAAGGATCTGATCTTTTTTTGGTTTTGTGTATTAGCCCAAGAGGCACATGCTAATGACAAGCCAACTTTTTAATCTACACACTACATAAATGAAAAAAATATGCAATGCCAGGTCAAATCAGTCAAGCTTGTGTTTGTTTTACGATGAGATAGCAGCTTTGACACAGTTAACAAACTGGGCTTGCCCAGCAGTTGCTTAAATTAACATTTTGCATTTATTTAGAAGACCCTTTTGTTCAAAGCGACATACAATGGTGGATCAGAGAGTAGGGTCTGATTGGGGTTAAGGGCCCAATAGCGATATGGCTAATCTGTCAGCTGTAAGATTTGAACGCATGCCCTTCTGGATGTTGCCACAGATTCTTAACCCAGTTAGTGTTAATATGCTTCAGAGACCACCACCAACAAGGACATCATTGGGTGTCAAGCTGTTACTTGTCTGTAAAACCTAAAGACAGCTAGGGTGGCATTGTATTGTCCTTTATGAGTCATGTGAGAGCTTTGTGATTTGGAATTTTGTCATGGTTCCGGTGAAAGTGAAAAGGAGGCTTGCAAGATGTCTTTCAAAGGCAACACTTGTGACATTTCAGCACAAAAGCTGACAGCACAACGAGTCGTAAATGGACTCAGTAACAGAACAGTAGAAAATCTGACTGTACAATCATCTCCTTAGTCCTTCAAAAACAGGATATGTATATTCAGATGAGCCATTAAAGGTTACATTATATCACTATTACCTGCCTATATATCTTGACAATGACAATGGTCAGGATGTCTGAAGTTGTCCAAAGTTAACTTTTACAGAACATGGATAATAAAGGACCAGTGTGGTTATACTATAATCACCTAACATTGCGAATTGTCACAGTACCCAACACTATTTGTAATATGTAACCATTTAAAAAAATAACTTGAGTAGAATCCCCTTTTGGGAAGGAAGAGGATATCAAGAGGCAGATTTTCTTCCAACTTCCTATGAGTTTACGTGACTGTTTTTCCACTTCCTGTTGACCTCAGCTGATTGCTTTGCCTCTTCCTGTTGACCTCAGCTGATTGCTCTCCCATTTCCAGTTGACCATAGCTGATTGCTTTGCCACTTCCTGCTGACCATAGCTGATTGCTTTCCACTTCCTGTTGACCTCAGCTGATTGCTCTGCCATTTCCGGTTGACCAAAGCTGATTACATAGCCATTTCCTGTTAACCTTAGATGATAGCTCTGCTATTTCCTATTGACTATGGCTGTACCGCTTACTGTAGACTTCAGAGGAGGAGCTGTTTGGTAACAGTGAGGAGAGTCCAGCCTTCATGGAGTTCCTGGAGTTCCTGGGTCAGAAGATTGAGCTACATGATTTCAAAGGGTAGGACTGAGCTATCCAAACATTCTGTGCACAGCCTTAAGAACCATGGACTAAGTGTGCCCTAACCCTAGCGTTGGCTGTGGCCATTGTTCACGTGTGAAAGTGGACAAAGCATTGCTGAAATCTGATATCACCCTACACCTGAAATGTTATCCTTAGTAAGAAGAAAACCCCGCTCGCGACGGATATTTCTCCTAGGTGATGAGGTGGGTAGTATTGCTAATACCCTTTGATTCTTCCATCTAGTTTCCGAGGTGGGCTGGATGTGACCCATGGGCAGACCGGTACCGAGTCTGTCTACCACAACTTCCACAACAAGGAGATCATGTTTCACGTGTCCACCAAACTGCCGTACACAGAGGGAGACTCCCAACAGGTACTGGCATTTTCGTCACGCACCCAAAGCACACACATCCACGTGTGGTCTCCTCAGAATGACACCTCTGTGTCTTCTTCTGCCTGAAGTGTCGCTTTCTGAATTTTGACAAAGAGCTTCTAGAACAGGGTTCTTCAACTCTGGACCTCGATTCCAAATCCAGGCCGTGTTTTCAGTTCCCCCAGGTAGTTGTTTAATAATTACTGGTTCTGATTGGTCAGAGGCTTCACACCTGACTGACAGGTAAAGGAAGGCTGGAAAACCAGCAGTGCTCGGACCTCGAGGACCGTGAGTTGAATAACCCTGTTCTAGAAGATCAAAATAACAAAAAAATCTAATCACCAATGTATTTAAAATGAATGGTTATTCTCTGATCCCTGGAAACAAAAGCAAACTATTTCAGATATAAAATGTGCAGGTCACGGTGTGTATTCAATTCTGAGCTGGCGGATGATCTTGGGGGTTAGCAACCTCTGCTGGGTGAGGCGGGGCTATGGGATAGAGATGGACGAAGGTGGCTGAGTTGCAGAATGTTTATGTTTTTATTAACTGTTTAGAGTTATGTGCTTGCTCTGAGTACACGAAATAAGAGACTCCTGAGCAAAAAAAAAGAATATGATCTAAGATTTGTCAGGGTGTAAGAATTGTAAACTTCTTTATGGGAGGGATCGTGTTTTTGTCTTTTTTTAGCTCTGTTTTACCAAATAATAATAAACCATAATTCAACAGACTCATAAACTTTGGGTACTTCGGCTTCTCCCAAGTGTTGCAACGCTCCACTTATGTCAGTGCCCAATTTCAAGTAAACAGTCACATTCTTCATAATGTTCTTCATAATTTATCTCTTCATAATAAAATTTGCTGATTGTTAATCGCTCCCCAAACCCTTGCAGAGTTACAGCATTTCTGATCTCTGGCTAATACTCACAGTCTGAGTTCTTTCACAGTCCCTGTTTCACCTAATGGGGGAGATATGCTGGGGTTTCCTGAGGCTCAGTGACAGAATCTACAAACTTTGGGATATAATGTGTCACATAAGGACAAACTGTTAGGATAAGGGGGCAAGTTAAGTTCCGGTCCTCATGGAGTATGTGGGAGTATGCTTTGTGTCCTGCTGCTTAATGTTTACTCATAGCCCTGAGTATCTTCCTTTTGCATTTTCAACTAGGCAATGGATTTTTTATGACAATCTGCATTGCCTTTTATATATTCCCACTCTTGTAGGCTTAGCCTTTTGGCAATGGTTATGTCTGTTTGGACCTAGGAACAGCTGCGTAATTGCAGAAACTGTTAACCAGATATGGTGACAAACAGCCATATAGCAATAAGGAGCAAAGCCCTGAATATAAATATTTGCTCTCATAAGCACCATATGGAGTCAGAAACTGCAGCAATACATTTTTTTATCCAGCCATTGCAATCCACCCATTTTCATCAGCATGACAATGTAGTTGCTTTCAGCCTAGTTGGAGTTCATTGGAAGGAGATGCGTGTTGCAAGCCTTAGAAGGTGACGGATCTGAAGGACCCTGAACCCAGCTGACTGTTGCATTGAGGTCCTCCAAAAGGACAGGGGTCGGGTTTTTACAGGGGTGTCTTCGTCTTGGGTTGACCAGAGGGAGGGGACACTCATGCGTTCAGCTGCCACAAGGCCAGTGACGTCAGTCCTTGGCATTGCAGCTCCAGCGGAAGCGGCACATCGGGAACGACATTGTGGCCATCGTGTTCCAGGAAGAGAGCACACCCTTTGTGCCAGACATGATTGCATCCAACTTCTTGCATGCCTACGTGGTCGTCCAGGTGGTGAACCCCTGCTCGGATAATGTCCTGTACAAGGTAACACCTCCATGAGGGTCCACAGAATACAGGATGCATTTTAATTAGTTCTTTGTTTAAATCTTGGCAGGTGAGGACACCTGCTGCACAAATAATAACTTCACTAAGGCAATGAAGCCCTTTTTAAAACATCTCACCCTGTGACTGAACTTGTCTAACTTGATTACTCATAGTAAGCATAGTAAGGAACAAACTGAAATGTCCAGATCAGACAGTTTATCCAGAAGCATTCCTTCAAGGTGGCACAGCTATGTCAAATGGCCACACCCTCTGTCAAAAGGCCACACCCTCTGTCAAAAGGCCACACCCCCTGTCAAGAGGCCACACCCCCTATACTCTGACAAATCATGACATAGTCCCACATAGTTTACCATCCATCCAGGTGTCTGTGACAGCCAGAGACGATGTGCCCTTCTTCGGACCCGCCCTCCCAGATCCGGCAGTATTCAGGAAGGTGGGTCCATATTGCTGTCCGTCTTACAGAAGCTTTATGCTTATCCTTTCATTTTTTGGGTATACAAACTCAGAATTCAAAGCTGTAAGTGCTTCATTAAGTCATTGTGTTTTGAAGCCTAAGATGATTCACGATTGTTACTGAAAGTCACTTGTTTATGGATGTCACCTATAACCCAGGAAAGTGTCTCTGTCGCACCATTTGGTCCTGACATCTCCCGCATAACTTCTGTTTTTTTCCCTCCTGCTTCTCACTAATCCTGCTTGCAGGGCCCAGAATTCCACGAGTTCCTCCTCACCAAGCTCATCAACGCCGAATACGCTTGCTATAAGGCCGAGAAGTTTGCCAAGCTGGAGGTATCTCCCCACAACACTTCTCTGCGATGACGAGGTTTAGCCAGTTAGCCGGCACATCTGCTGGTTTTGCTGCAGCTCGGACATCTTTTGACAAAATGTCATAGATAGAAAGATTTTAAGATTAATGTTAAGCGTGTTGAAATGTGTTTAGGAGTCATTGGGGGTTTGTCAATACCAAGAACACAAAGAGCGTACTTCTGTTCTTGTCAAGAGCGGTCTTGCTATCTTGCCTCCCAAGAATGAATTTGGGATGCAATGAATTATGGGATTGTTCTCGTTAGTGAGGATGCAACCAATGCACCCTTGATATATAGGACTGGGCAAGAATGACATCTGGAGATTTTCACTGCCCTCCATACTTCTGTTCTTGAGTATTGGAACTGGTCAACAGCAAAGGGAGATGGACCTCAAATGAGTACGCAAGAACACAAGTATGGTCAAGTATGCGTAATGATCAATGCCCATTAATTGGGAGAAAGTTGGAGTCTGAGTCAGGGTCCCCTGAAGGCATAGCCTAAAATGGTGTGTTTCTGTGTCTGGTGTGTGTTTGTATGTCCAGGAGCGCACACGGACTGCCCTGCTAGAGACGCTGTACGAAGAGCTCCACGCCAACAGTCAGGCCATGATGGGCCTGGGGGGCGAGGACGAGAAGCTGGAGAATGGCAGTGCAGGAGGGGGAGGCTTCTTTGAGTCCTTCAAGGTATCCCCTCTGACCATTCAGCAGTGCTGCATGTTAATGTTCCTTAGCCAATGAAAGTGGACACTTACTCAAAAACTCTACCCATGCAGCTGTAAACTGAGGAATGGAGGAAGAATTGTACAATGATAACAAAACTGCCAACAAATTAAGTAATAGGTTAATTTCACAAATTCAGACTCTGCTCCACATTTCTGAATTATGATCTTCTACACTAACGGCCAAGGAATTTGCCCTTTATCTAAAGCTGCGACCCTTTGATGTGTACATATCCTCTTGCCTTTGGAGTTCTGTTAGTGTGAACATCAAGGAGTTCTGGTAAATTTTCTTTCAGTTGTTACTTTAAGATCAAAAGAAACTGTTTGCCAATATATTGCTAATATATACTGGTTAGTTCCTCTCCATAAGATGCTTATATGACCATTTGTGGTGTGATTGTCACAGCGTACTGGGGATTGCTGCCTATATCCCTCAGATCCAGATCATCTATGCCTCTCTTGGGGGGGGATTGACCAGCCTGTTCTTATTCATGATCTCATTGCCAGTCATGACATGGTCTCTAATCCTGGATGTGAAGATATGTGGAGGTTCTCAGAAGCCCAGAAGTGCTGGAGGAATCAGAAGCGCTGTCTCTGCTCTTTTGCTGGGCTGGGGGTGCTGGCCTGTGGCAAGGGGAACCTTCTGGAACCCCTGAGGCTTCCTCCTTTTTCAGCTGTTGTGTTGGTGTTGGGCAGTATGCATGCTTCCCCCTTTTCTTTAGATGCCTCTCTATGTCTCCTCCATATTTCTTGCCCAAATGTTTATCGCTAGTACCTTCCAGAACTCTCCTTCATCAAAAATTATGCCCTCCATTGATTCTGCCCTTCAATCATCATTTTCCATGGGACTCTTGACTCATTCTCTCCCTTTGTCTAACACTCTCCTCTCATTCCGCGGCACCTCCTGCTGTTTAACCCTAGGCACTACGAGCTCAACGTGTCTCTGCGTCTCTCTCCGTAGAGGGTGATCCGCAGCAGAAGCCAGTCTATGGACACCATGGGCCTCAGTAACAGGAAGCCACACACAGTCTCCACTAGTCACAGTGGCAGCTTTAGCCACAATGCCCCGGAGACCCCAAAAGCCCCGGGGATAGTAAGTAAAACCGCTTTGGGGCCACCCTCCCTCAACTGATTGGCCTGGTCAGACTAATTGCAATGTCTCACCACTAATTAAGCCACAGTCAAGCACCTAGTAGCCTCTCTGTGAAGCCACGTTCCCCAGGTCTCTGCTAACATGGTCCACATACGTCTCCAATGCGTACAGCCTCCCCTAGAGCCAGCATACAAAAATTCCTTCAAAAATAAACTTACGTGTAGTATATTTGGAGTAAATCCAACTTGCAGTGGAGTGATGAAGTCTCTCAGATTCACCAAAGTAGTATGCATTGTAAATACGCCCCCCCCCCCCACACCCATCATCACAGTGATTTGATGTATTTCCTGATGTCACAGTAGATCTCTAGTCTCCGGCGACTCTGATTTACACAAGTCGTTTTTCGGTGTTTGTTTAGTCTGCGAGTGCTTCCAGGTCAGCCATTTAGTCAGGTGCTAAGAGGCCATACCCAGAACGTACCTCTGCCTTTGACAGACCTTTCAACTCTCAGACAATGGCCCCTTCATCCCTCACCACCCCACGTTGACATGGAGAAACGGCCATGGAATGACTGGGGTGGGAGCTTACCACGTTGCATCCTGTATACATCCTAGATGTTGGGTCAGATGGGGCCCGATGTCACTCAGCCTAGCCTGAATGAACGCTGGGGAGCAATGGAGAAGTTCTTTCGATGTCGGGGTTCTCAATCTGGAACTCTTTGAACTCGAACTGTCAGCCAAGCCTATCTCCCCTTCTCCCTCTCTCTCTCACGCTACCCTTTCTACTGGCTTTGTCACGCTGTCACGCTTCTTGCCGTGTTTGCAAGCTAACCCCCGACGCCAGGTTGAATTTCCGAGTGAATTGATTCCAGTGGCTGGTCCCTCCTCCTTGTCCGCATCACCAGAAAGACCCTGCTGCAGCATCCCCTGCATGGCCACCTCTCAGCATGACCTGCAGCCCCAGACCCTGCATGAGTGAGCCCTGAACATCTGCTCCATGTCTATGCAATACAGATGCATTTATTTACAAAAGGGTTATTCAGCTTCACAGATGCACCCAAATGTGCATCTACTATTGCCATAGAAAGTTCTAGGGTACAGAAGCCTGAGCAACCCAGAAACTGCTTTGCCAGACAATCATCGGCAGGTGTTGACAAATGTGATGCTATGCTGCCATCTACCTGTCTGAAATTAGTCTTCAGGAACAATTCCACAAAACCCGCAGCCTGCTTTCCCCAGGCAAGAGTAGCTATGACCCAGCCAGCTCCTCCCAGCCTGTGCGGGATAGCTGTGTTTTACCCGGTGGCCTGCAAAGGCTATGCAGCTCCTGCTCATAGGTGGATGGTTTAACGAAGCTCTGGAGCTGTTAGGGCCCAGATCACAGCTGTTCATTCTGACCACCAATCAAGTTTAGGGTCTGACATCTCTGAGAGACATTTTTCTGGGCTGCGAGTGATTAATTTCTCCTGACAGTACGAAAAGCTCTTCTTCAGTCATCTCTCTCTCACCCGTTCTTCCTTCTCCTCCCCTCAGCTCCTCGAACGGCAACTTCCTTCCTCTTCCTCAGCTACCCCCACCACTCCAGGCGGGGGGGGGGGGGGGGGGGTCGGGGGGTGCTCTTCGACCCCTCACCAAGCCACTGCCATGTTGCCCCCCAGTTGTATAGCCCCAGTTGTGCCAATCCCAATTATGTGGTGTGCAATGTTTTATTTTTTTTCTGTCCCTCTGTTTTATGGAGTAGTTTTTTTTTTTCATTGGTGTTGGAATGCTACCTGCTGCATGAGATGTCATTCTGTGTTTTTTTCTCTCTCCCTCTCTCTGTCTATCCGGCCTATCCAGTCATTGCTTGTCCCGGGGAAAAGTCCCAGTAGATACGGACGTCGTGGAAGCGCCATAGGGATAGGAACTATAGAAGAGGTTTACGTATCACTCTCGCTCTTTCCACCACCCCTCCCCACCCTATACTATGACTCACCCCTCCCCCCATCCTGAATCTAACTTGCACAATGTACAAGGTATAAATCTCCCTCTTTCCAAATAATCTATTTACGTTGCTGGATCCCATTGGTTTTAGGTGGGAAGCCTGAGAGGCATCCCAGTGTTACCAGTAAGATACTGGGGTCTATAGGATACAACCCTGAGTCAGTATATTGTGGAACTTATTTCCCTTTATAAGTAGTATTAATAAAATCCAGTGTTGGGCATTTCATGTTCAGAAGCTACAAATCCAGAGCAAGATATTGTTTCTAGCAACCAGTTGAGCATAAAGAGTCACAGTCACAGAGTACTCAGCTGGTTGGTTTAAACAATATCCAGGTCTGGATTTGTAATTTCTGGACCTGAAATGCCCAACACTGACAAAATCGCATTTACCACACAAACATACACAAACAAACATTAGAAACACATAGTCAAAAATATGATGTGCAGAGTGCAATGCATAATTTTTTTATTTAAATCGGCAGAAATGAAATTCATTGTACCCTATAAATAATAATCCAATATTTGCATGTACCTTCCAGTAATTAAACAGTAAAGCCTCTCTGCACTGTGCCTCAGTCGAGCCTTGCAGAGTCACGCCAGCTCCGGCGACTCTCAGCAAGCTGACTGTGAGTCCTCCACTTCCTCACAGGCACTGATCATTCCGGGGAAGAGTCCCACCAGGAAGAAGTCCGGGCCCTTCAGCTCCCGGAGGAGCAGTGCCATTGGCATCGAGAACATCCAGGAGGTGCAAGAGAGGAGGTGGGCATCAGGAAGGGCAAAAGAAGGGCAAAGGCCTGTACATTATGGAGGCTATGAGATGGTCCAAACGTTCACTGTCCCTAACTCCCTCCCCACAGCAGGGAGTGCTCCCCCAGCACACAAAAGACTCCTGACAGTGGGCACGTCTCTCAGGACATTAAATCACAGAATTCGTCCAATCAGAGCTCTCCTGAGATGCCCACCATGAAGAACAGGTGACTGACATTTCTTGTGCAGATTGTCTTCCTTCTGGCCGTCTTCAGTACTTGATCATCCTGAGCACATTAATTTGTAATGTCTTGGAGATAGTTCTAGTTCAAAAATATCGGTCTGTAGTGGATGATGGGAGATGTAGTTTAATTTTCTGCCATGCAGTGCAGCCTGGGAAATGTGGATCCAGAGTGCATGAATAACCCAGGTGTGCAGCTCTGCCATGTGTTGCAGGGCTCCCTCTATCCCAGAGGGGGATCTGTCTCGCTCCTCATCCAATGCCAGCAGCTTCGCCAGCGTGGTGGAGGAGAATGAAAACGAGGCCTTGGAGGAGTATGACACCGGTCTGGTGGGTATAAAGATAGTAACTCTCAGCATATGTTTGTAAGAAACTGAAAATGCCATTTTTAATAAAATACCTCTTTTGAGTTTTTGGAGGGGTGGAAGTATGAAACATAATTCAAATTATTTGGGTTTAGAATTAGAACTAGATGAATTAGACCCCAGAGGAAAATTCTTCTGCATACAGCAGTGAGCATGTAGACCACAGTACACAAATAGAATATCCTGACAAGCTGAACATTTCTGAAATATTAATGGAAAATTATTAAGAAAAAAATAAATATAGGTAACAAATAAACTAGCGTAAGTAATGTGCAATAAAAAAACAGAGAGCACCGGATTTTTACTGTTGCAAGATGGGTCGCTTCCTGATTTGTTATGGGGGGGGGGGGAGAGACCATGTGATGCCTCTGCCTCTGATGGCAGCAGTAGAAATGATGCCCAGTAGTGATTTTTAGCAGACCACGGTGGAATTGGTCAGTACATAGTTGGACACTGATATGCAAGTGTGCATGACCACTGCAGGAGAGTCTCTCATCTTCTGGGACCCCACACAAGCGGGACTCCTTCGTCTACAGCTCCTGGGTAGAAGACAGCACCAGCATCACCAGCCGAGGCAGTACGACAGGTGAGGGCAATCCAGGGGCTATCTGGGTCAAGGGAGACCTCCAGATGAAGGCCATCCAGGGAGGTCTGGATCAGGGCAATCCCGTAAGTAATGGCATTCCAGGGAGGTCTGGTTCAGGGCAATCCCGTAAGTAATGGCATTCCAGGGAGGTCTGGATCAGGGCAGTCCTATAGGTAAAGGCAATCCAGGGAGGTCTGGATCAGGGCAGTCCTATAGGTAAAGGCAATCCAGGGAGGTCTGGAT